CTGCCCTGAAGTTGTAGTTAGGCAATGGCGGCAAATTCGATAGAAAAATAATCCGTTCTGGTTCAGCTCCAAGTATCGAGAAATTGAAGCCACGGACTCTGTTAGTGGCAAAGGAGATGGCTAAAGCAAGGCTAAATGCTAATGCTAGGCTAAATGCTAGCGCGCGTTACATATGTCACAACAAACTCAGATCCAATCGTTTCAATCTGCTAAAGGAGTTAACCCCTCCCACCTGTTAATGGAGCTCAATGAAGCAAAAGCAGGCCTTAGTATGATATGAAATTTGTACCAGGCTAACATTGCACCGGCCTCATTCATTTTAAATAGACAAAAGCACGATATACATCCTCCCAACAGTAGCAGCAATACTGTTAGATAAAAAACAGAGAATACAGTCCATGTTCCTGTAAGATTCATGACCCCAGCTCCAGTGGGTGGCCTCCCCCTGTCCTCCATACAGGCTGATTTACACTGGTCATGCGTCTCGGGGGAAAGGTCACTGCGCTCCATCAGGCACTCTGCGGGACGTCCGGCCTGATACATCAGTGTAATGGAAGCCACGCCGCGCCCATGACAACACTCATACACACTGCAGACACACAAAGAGGACCAGGAGCCAGCTTCAGGCCGTTTGAAGCCTCTACAGCAGATCAATACAAGCAGGGTGGTCCAGCCAGAGATAAAGACAGGTGAGTGACGCTGATAGGAGTGGGAAGATGAAAGGATGTACACAGGAACCCAGGGTGCAGAGATTATTATTGGCCCAGCATGACGCACATTACATGCTAAACTAGGATCTTTTGGATATACGTATAGTTTGCACTGATAATTCACTAGTCCCTTGGCTAGGGTTAGGGTCAGGGTGCATCCGTATCACAAATAGGCCTGTCATAATATTTTCTCTATATATTTTTCATTCAATAACTCATGCATGTGTATTTTGGGGAGTACATTTTCTTTGTAAAATATTCATTGTGACATAAAGCAATTTGAGAGCCACTTTAAGTCTCTTGTGCGGCTAAATATTTCTCAATTTCATGGTTTATTTGTTTCAGTGTACACATTGTTTGTGATAGAAATGAATCACAGAGAATTATCTGTTGTTTTGTGATTGACCTAGTGGTAAAATAATTATCACCATACATCACGGTCGCAACAACTTCAACATGTTGTTAAACCATCTTCATCCGTGAGGTGGGTGAAATCGCACTATCCACCGCTCAGAATACTTCATACTATAAAAGCAGTGACCATTATCAAAGCAGACACGAGGATTTACTAAAAATAAGTTCACTGGAAAAAAGCAGTCAAACTGATCAATTTCCTTATTACTACTACCACAACAACTGCCACTCCTCCTACTACTCCTCCTCCTCTACTACAACTAATTCTACTACTAATACTCCTCCTACTCCTCCTCCTGCAACTGCTACGACTACTCCTCCGCCTACTACTCCTACTACTACTACTCCTACTCCTACTACTCCTCCTCTTCCTCCTCCTACTCCTCCTACCACTACTGCTACTACTACTCCTCCTCCTGATACTGCTACGACTACTCCTCCGCCTACTACTCCTACTACTACTACTATTCCTCCGCCTACTACTCCTACTATTACTACTACTACTACTCCTACTCCTACTACTCCTCCTCTTCCTCCTCCTACTCCTCCTCCCACTACTGCTACTACTACTCCTCCTCCTGATACTGCTACGACTACTCCTCCGCCTACTACTCCTACTATTACTACTACTACTACTCCTACTCCTACTACTCCTCCTCTTCCTCCTCCTACTCCTCCTCCCACTACTGCTACTACTACTCCTCCTGCTACTGCTACTCCTCCGCCTACTACACCTACTACTACTACTCCTCCGCCTACTACTCCTCCTCTTCCTCCTACTACTCCTCCTACTACTCCTCCTTCTCCTCCTACTTCTCCAACTACTACTCCTACTACTACTAGTTTGGCAATATTGGTCTACTGTTATTGTTTCAAACTTTCTAAAATGAGAATCAAGAGGAAGCACCCTCCATCTTCTTTGCCCTCATTTGCCAAAGGTACACACTTAGCACTGGTGAAACATAATGTACTCACGTCAGTCATTGTCGATATGCCATTTTGAATACTTTTCTCCTAATCCATGAGGAGGCTACATGTAAGTACTTATCATATACACATTACAATGCAGGTGGATTTGACGTTGCCGCTTCAAACCAAGCGTTCAGCGACAGATGCAGAGTCGCGGTTAGCGTGGGAGGACAGACGCTGCTGCCTCTGTGTAAATGAATTGCCGTACGGTTAATTAACATGAAATCCCTTTGTCTTCAGGCTCTGACCAGGGCAATTTGTGGGTGTTCAGCCGAAAATGCAGCGAAATGATTAATTAAGGATCCCAAATGAGAGTGCACCGGCTTTGGACTTGCAGCTCTGCAGTCAGAAAGAAGAGAGGAGAGAGAAGAGAAGAAAGGGTATAGCACCAACAGCTCCCACAGCACTTATACTGAGCTTTAATATGAGTAATATTGCACTTATAACTTCATATCACGCTCATATAGACACTTATATTACATTATTCACGCCATAGTAAGTCCCACATGGCGGGAGAAGTGGGTAGTATTTAGTACCATAAAATGACGTTATCTGTGTGGTTTGTATAATAAGACGGTACTCCTTTCACTGTCAGTCAAATGACATGTGAGTATATAATAAAATCAAAATAATGTAATTTGTTATGTGTTATGATTGAGTACAAAAATAAGAGTCTGGTTCTTTCGCTAGTTTTCTAATGCATGGCCTCTGTCTGTCTTTAGATACACTTTTTTAAGAAAGAAAAGTGAAAAAGAGCTCTCTCAGCAGATCAGCCCCCAAAAACTAAGAAAAATATGTTGTTTTCTAGATAAAAACTATGACAGAATGTTGTGGTCTTTCTGTTGGGACAAACAGCATGTATTATTTATGAGGCACTCCGGCTTCAAACCCATGGACCACTACTTTGTAGTAGTAGTAATCTTTATTTATTTATTTATATACCGCCTTTTCACACTGCACATCGGAGTCTCAAAGCGGTTTACAATTGTTATTTTTGGGAGTGGGGTGCCAGTACAGGAGGCACATGCCAGACCTATTGTACATATTTTTAGTGGTAGGGGAAACCGGAGTACCCGGAGGAAACCTACGCAGACACGGGGAGAACATGCAAACTCCACTCAGAAAGGCCCTGGTCCAACCGGGATTTGAACCCAGGACCTTCTTGCTGAGAGGCGAGAGTGCTATCCACTCAGCCACCGTGCCGCCCGCACTTTGTACTTTTACTTGGCTGAATCTATCAAAGCCATAAGGCAGACGTTGGTAATGGCTGTAGCTACGGGAATCAAACTGTTTGTTTATTTAACCTTTGTTCAATGAGCATAAAGTTTTAAGATAAGAACAAATGTATTCATCTCATAATGGAGTTTTTGATAGAATCCAGGCCAAGAGGCAGCCTATCAATAAAAGAAGAAGAAGCCTTTGGACAAACAACAGCATGTCACTCGCATACCATTCAACACTCCAAAATGTGAAAACAAGCGGAAAATCCTCAGAGATCCAAAAGTAATAGTCCACAGTCGACCCGCTTCTGCTATGAGCACACACAGCACCTTCTTCTGATTCCAAGTCTACATGGATCCAAGCAGGAACAAGAGCAGGGTTTGTACCAATGGCCCCTAGTCTGCTGTTGAGGCTAAACTTCCCCGGTGCCCTGGTCTCTTGCAGACTTCTCCAGCGATTCCGTCCGAACCAACAAAATGTCCGAAATGTCACTGAGGAATGATTTAAGGCTGGTTATACTGCGTGTCCTTGTAAAAAAAGCAACAATCAGTTCCGTGGGCATGCAAAAGAAAACCCCAGGCCATTTAAAGGGAGTGTGGGCTGTAAATTTTAAAAACAACCACAGGACTTGCTGGACTATTAAGTCTGTCCGCATTGTACATTTCTCCATTGTGAGATCAATAGGTTTGTCTTTATCTTATACAGTGTAGGCTTCTGGTTTCCATGGACGTACTGTTGATGATCAAAATGCAAATCTAAACTACTTTGACAATTTGCTAATAAAACTTGCTGGAGTCAAACTATTAAGTTCATAAACTTTGCTCTGACTATAACCCTAATTTATATTAAAAGGCGTGTATTTTCAACCACTTCCTCGTTTCTCTCTGCTGTTCTCCAAAATCAGAGTCCAAATCCCTTCCAGCAGCCCAAAACTAAAGTAGCGTCCAGCAAGTAAACCGTTTTTATCTTACCAATACCGTTTTACTTTGACCAATATGTTTCAGTAGAGTGACATGCTCAGACATGTACTTTACACAAAAAGATATTAAAATGATCCACTTTTTAATTATACTAAGAGGTAGGAGGTTTTATATTACCTCCCGATCACATTTGAAGTATAGCACACGGCTACAGCTGGAACACAGAATATTATATGGCTAGACACAAATAGTCAAAAAATTTGGCACTCTTGGCCAGAAAAAACCCAGCACTGGATTAAATGTGAGACTTCGAATTTGCAACATTTCATACATTTTAGAAAGCCAAAAAATGATCGCCTCACTCAATCTCGATGGAAATAATGTGGTGTTAACGACCAGGCCCAGAGGCTAACTCCTCAGCACTTTGATTACGCTTGGGTAATTGCTTTGCATTGTCATTGCTGTAAATAACCAAACCCACCCGGTCAGCGTAAGCTCTAGATAGAAACCGCTCCTCGTACTCTGTTACTGCCCGCAACCATAAATCTCATTTCCTTTCAATTACGCGCACACAAACGACACCGATAAAATCCATGAATTTCAAATGACGATCTCCCCATTAGTAAGTCCGTGTTATATGGCCTGTGTGGGGTGGGATATGAAACCGCTATCATGCCGCGAATAGACTAATCGCATTCTTCCATGGCCATGTAAATCTGCACTATTTACGGCCGTTCCAAATGCCCGGGGGTTGTTTGATTCGCCCATGATGGAGCTTCGGGAGAGTGGACAGGAGTGGGAAAGTTTTGACAGATGCAAAAGGAAGATTGATGCAGACTTCAAAGGCGGGGGGGCCGTCAGCAGCGGGTGATTGGAGTGAAAGCAGATAGCGCTGGTTAAATCGGCCATGTTTGAAGTGCGGCAGGTGCGGTGGGTGTCGTGGGGGGAGGGGGGTGTTTTGACGGGTGGATGTGTAACGGCACAAAGAGAACGGGTTCGTTTTCGATATGTCGTTATGGAAGTCTGCAGGCCGCTGTGAGGGAACGCGAAAGGACTATAAAGAGCTGTATGGGTGAAATCAAATACCTTCCACAGAACACAGTAATAAGCAATAAGCACATAAGTCTGCCTATAAGCAATGGTTACATTCAAGGCAGAGAAGCCATATCAAAATGTTTCGCAATGAATCAAATATACCCATGATCAACAGGGCATATTGATTTCTCTTGTGAACCATCTCAAAAATGATAGGTTTAAACTGAGCTTTAGGCATGTTTTTATAATTACTACATTAACTCTCAGGTTAACTACTTCAAATGTGTTATTCTTTTTTAGCTTTCGAAACCAGACACGACTTGGCTTCCCACAAACACAAACACAAATATGTTCATATTATTTATTAGTGTTGTTGATTGTAGTCGGGCTCTATCTCTGTTATAGAGTGTCATGACCGTGGCAAGGCTAGGCTTAAAACAGTCCTCTTTAGTTTAGCATATGGCTAGGAAGGTAAGACTCAGGGAAGGCTAAACTCCTCAGACTGTCAGTCAAGCTGCATAGGGAGTCAGTTTGCTGGGAGAAGTATGGTAACCTGAGCACTATCCTCTCCTCCTTCCTACTTTATCTGTTTAGCATTATTAGGATTTTGACTGTAGTTTGTTCATTGCTATTCACCCGTTGTCCCATTGTATGTTTCATGGTACGATGACGGGATCTCTGAGCCTGGCCTCCTCCATCTACACCTGCGGACTGCCCCGCCCGAGCCGCCTGGGAGTGCTTCAGTCCTGCACCGGACCTGTCCACGTTCAGCGGCCACTGGTCCACGTCCTGTAGCTAGCTTAGCCTGTCCGTCCGGAGGAGCGGATCCCTTTCTCAAATGGGTCTCCCTCCCTGTGGGTTTCCCTAGTTCTCCCCAAGGTTTCTCACTTTTTCCCACTGGGTTTTTTAAGAGTTGTTCCTTGTCGATGCAGGAGGGTCTTGTTGGACAGTTAGTGTCCAACAGAAAGGATTGGTGATGATCAGGACACTTTAGCATTCTACAACATGTATGGACATTTTCTTCTGTGTGTGCTTTATATTTTTCATGTGTTTTAACTGTTGATTCTCTGATCTGTGTTGGTGATTTCAATGGTTTTGCTAAGTCCTCTGAGATGACTTCTGTTGTGACCTAGGGCTATACAAGAATAAATTGTATTGTATTGTATTGTATTGTAGAGAAGAAAAAAAGTACACAAATCTGAAAAAATCTATTTTGGCGATTAAAGAGTTAAAATTTTAGAAAATCTGTCCATGCACTACAGTATAAAGTAATAATGTAATTTAATAATAAAAATCTGTTTCCTTGGCATAACCATTGTTAGAAAATATGCCAAAGTCAGATAGCTGAAGCAGTAGAGATGGGGTTCGTCAGGGCATGGATGGGTCTAACTGTAATCTCACGTTAAAAAAAGCTCTCCACATTTTAGGTAACTGACATTTTGACTTTGTGTGCAAAACTATTTGAATTGAATGAATATTTGTGCCTTTTTAGGTTGTTTGTTTGACCCGAATAGGCTGGAATAATGGAAAACTGACAAAAAAATCTGACCAAGAGCTTCTCAAGTAAGTTACTGTACAGACTAATGCTTATCCACACAATTTATTATATTGCAAAATGTGTTAATTTTACATTTCCGTTATATAATTATACTCCAGTGGCAGAAATCAGTATATCTCAAGTTTATCCGAGCGAGCACATCGACCCTCCAGTGCTCCAGTCAGCGCCCGGGTGTGCGGAACACACCACCAACAACCGCAACATGCCCGCGGACCGTCCCTGCTCCACAGCCACGGAGAACATTCCACCAGCTTCTCTCTCGGACCACACCACATCCACCGACTGCATCATCACGGCACACATGGATTACGTCATCAGAATGCGACCGGCATCAGACCACATAAACAAAAACAGCGGAGACATGGAAAACGCGGGGTGGATTTTCGCCTGCTCCGCACTCTTCCAAAACATAAGCCCACTTCTGAATTAAAAATAGATCTGCTAAATAGTCAATCACTCTCCAATAAAACTAGTTTGATTCTGGATCATATTCAGGATAAAAAGTTGGACATGTTGTGCCTCACTGAGACCTGGCACAAACCTGGTTCATACATTTCTTTGAATGAAGCCTGCCCCCCAGGGTTTACATATCTGGAGAAGGCTAGGACCACTGGTCGTTGTGGAGGGCTGGCTGTCATACATCACAGGGACTTACCTGTAACCCCCCTCCCACTTCCAGAGCTTACAACATTTGAAGCCCTTCTTTTCAAATGCAGACCACAAAATAAATCAATTTTAACGCTCCTCATCTACCGCCCTCCAAAACTCAACTCCGGCTTTATCACTGAATTGCGAGATCTACTCACTTCCCTCTGTGCTACTTCCCATAATACACTCATTCTGGGAGATTTCAACATCCACATTAAATCTACAAATAATCGTCTTGCTGCAGAATTTCTCGAACTCTTGGACTATTTACATCTATCACAACATGTCTCAGAACCCACCCACACAAAAGGCCATATTCTTGACCTTGTTATAACAGACAACGTCCCCATCTCCAACCTGCAAGTTTATGATTTGGGGGTGTCCGACCACAAATTAATTTCCATGGTACTGCCCTTAGCCGAAACACAAATTAAAACAAAGCGCCAAATCAGTTTCAGAAATTTAAAGGCAATTGACTCCACCCGCATTAACCAGGACATTCATAAAATCTCTCTAGTCACACAATTCACTTCTGTAAATGAAACTGTCACTCATTACAACTCCAGCCTCCGCATTATCCTTGATTCTCATGCACCAGTTAAAACCAGAACAGTCACATTTTCCAGAACAGCCCCATGGTACACACCTGAACTCCACAATATGAAGACAGCTGGCCGAGCCCTCGAGCGGCGCTACACCTCCACTGGCTTACTAGTCCACAAACAGGCATACCGTGAACACCAAAAAACATATACCAGAGCACTCACCACTGCAAGATCCTGCTATTTTTCACAAAAAATCTCAGATAGCACTGGCAATTCAAAACGATTATTTTCTGAAATAAACACTCTGGTCAAACCTCACACACACACACTGTCTGACACCAGTACGGACCATTGCAATAGGTTCATGGACTACTTCACCAACAAGGTAATGTCAATCCGGTCTGCCCTTCCTTCCACTACCCCATTTCCAACTGACATAATCTTTCCTAAGCCGCCCAACACCTTTACCTCCTTCTTGGATATCTCCCAGTCTGAAGTGGAGAGGATCATAAGCAGCATGAAGCCCTCCACCTGTCTGGATCCTCTCCCCACAACACTTCTCAAATCAAACTTTTCCGCCATTAGCCCATTAATAACAGAAATCATTAACCAGTCACTAAAATCCGGTCAGGTCCCCCCAGCTCTCAAAAATGCAGTAATCCGCCCTCACCTGAAAAAACCTTCACTTGACCCCAACATCCTAGCCCACTACAGACCAGTCTCAAACCTCCCATTCCTCTCCAAAGTCCTCGAAAAAGCAGTAGCAGCCCAACTCCACAATCACTTACGCTCCCATAACCTATATGAGAAATTTCAATCTGGTTTCCGCTCAGCCCACAGTACAGAGACAGCCTTGGTCCGCGTCATGAATGACCTACTCATGACTGCGGACCGGGGCTCACCCTCTCTCCTCCTCCTCCTCGATCTGTCAGCAGCTTTTGATACCGTGGACCACACCATTCTCCTCCATAGACTACAATCAGTAATTGGACTTTCACAGACAACACTCAAATGGTTTCATTCATATCTCACTGACAGAACAGAATATGTGTCCCTAGGCCAGTACAAATCGTCAACCCATTCAGTTACCTGTGGGGTACCGCAAGGCTCAGTCCTCGGGCCAACCCTTTTTACAATATACATGCTCCCCCTTGGTCAAATCATAAACAGACACAACATTTCTTTCCACTGCTACGCCGATGATACACAGTTATACCTGAAAATGGACTCCACTTCACCCACAGGTTTTACGTCAGCCCTTCAGCTTTGTCTGGAGGAGATAAAGGCATGGATGGACAACAATTCTCTTCAACTTAACAGTGGTAAAACTGATGCAATCCTCTTTGGCACCCCCCACCAAACCCAGTCCTCCCCTCTCAGCAGTGTTTCAATTTTTGGCCATAACATCCCCCTGTCCACATCTGTTAATAACCTTGGAGTCAGGCTCGACTCTAATTTTACATTTGATACCCACATCCGCCACCTCTGTAAAGTCTCCTTCCTTCACCTCAAAAACATTGCCAGACTCCGCTCCTCCCTCTCACAACCGGACGCTGAGAAGCTGATCCATGCCTTTGTCTCCTCCAGGTTGGATTACTGCAATGCCCTCCTCGTCGGGACCTCTGCAAAGGGTCTGCAAAAACTCCAGTACATCCAGAACTGTGCTGCCCGGGTCCTGACGAGGAGGCGCAAATATGACCACATCTCACCCGTCCTCAAATCACTCCACTGGCTGCCCATCAAACACAGAATACAGTACAAACTCTGCCTCCTCACATATCAATGCACACACGGAACTGCCCCTGCCTACCTCAGTGAACTCCTAACACCACACACCGCCTCTCGAAGTCTCCGTTCAACCACCTCCTCCCACTGCCTGCACCAACCCAGGACCAAACTCTCCACCATGGGAGATAGGGCCTTTCAGGCAGTAGCCCCCCGGCTCTGGAATGCCCTCCCAGAAACCCTCAGGGCCCCACAAAGTGTGGAGGCTTTTAAGAAAGGCCTAATCATTCCTATTCAAACAGGCCTTCTAGATATGTACAGTAATTATGTTTTATTTTATTTTATTTTTTCCTGATGTTATATTTGATGTATTGTTTTTATGTTGTGTATCTTGGGGATGTTCCCTGTTTTTGTAGCACTCTGAGGTTTCCCTGAAATGTAAAGTGCATTATAAATAAAATCTATTATTATTATTATTATTAAGTTTAAAATACTATCAAACCTACTGAAGAAGTCGCTTTTATTACAGCAATCATTCAGCCCTTACACATGTGTCCACAGGCCTTTCTCGCCTCCCTGCTCCACACACACACACACACACACACATACACACCTCAGAGGGGCATGGATTGATCTGTAGCACCACCATAGATAGCCCCGGTCCTCTCCGCACATGCAGTCGGTGAGTAAGTGCTAGGACAAGCTGTTCTTTCAGGCAACAATAGGCCTTCTAATAGCCCCAGTTTGTCTCCGTTAAGACAAACTAACGCACACACACATGGACACACACATGGCGGTCGGACGTTACACCCGGCTGCCCTTCGCTGTGGTCAGGCTGAAGACCTCCTCAATCTGGACGTTTGATCTCTGCCTCTCACGGGCTCTGATACAGAGGCCATTTTCTCCCTTCCAATCCTGACCTGTAGAACTCATCAAAGCCATTAAAGCCAAAGTGAAAGAACAAATTTGGTGCTGGACTTTGATCTTCAGGGGTAGGGCAAGTGTAATGGGATAGTTAAGGCATTTAGGGACCCGTTTTAGCACATTTTTGTTGGATTCACTGTACGACCAGAGCAGAGATGCCAGTCGCCATCTCTGCTCCCACTCTCTGGAACTCTCTCCCCTTCACCTCAGAAACACACACTCACTCCTTCAAAAAACAATTCGTTCCTACTTTTAGATGTTTTGTTTTGTGAGTCTGTCTGAATGTGTATATGTGTGTGTGTGTCCTGACTTGTGAGGAGTCTTTGAGTTTCTGAAAAGCGCTGTACAAAACCAATGTATTATTATTATCATTATTATTATTCACAAAATATCCCAATAATAAATCATACACACTCTTTAGGAAATATGCATAAAAAATTAAATTCTTGCTTAAGACAGGGAGCCTTGACACGAGATTTACAAAAAGCACTCATTCTCCATTAATAAACACTGATCCCAGGTCAATGCCAGAAGCATTTTTTGTTCAAAATATCTGAAGTTGAATATCACAAAAGTCTGAACCCTCCATCTCCTCTTAAACTAGGTCTTCTTGACATCGCCCACTTTGCTGCAGTCTCGGATGGGCTCATAGAGTATAAAATAAGAAAAGGATGATCATGAAATTCAAAACTTGATATTTTCATCCAATCTTTGTAAAAGATATTGAAGCATAGTTTTACAGCCTAGCGGAACATATAAAATAATGAGTGTGTTGGAGTGACGCAGGCTGGGTCAGGTTGCCTTGTGTTGAAAAAACGAATAGCTTTTCTTCAGTAAGCCATTTGATCCTCTTGTAAATACTTTATGCACTTATCTATTTTAATATGAGCGATGAGAGTGGCTGAACAGGTCCAAAGCAACCATCTATTCTCAAGAGTGAGACGAGAAAGCATGACGTGCATGATTTTCTTGTGTAATTAATTCAAACATTGAAGAAGATTTTTATTTATAATGAGTGTCAAACCTCCTGTGCCCATTTAAAACATTGGATACAAGTAAGTGAGTAGGTAAGTAATGTTTATATATATGGCAGATTTTCACAGATCAAGGCCACCAAAGCGCTTTATAATGTTCAGAAATAAGAAATTGTTGCTCCCAACCAACGCCATCCAATCACTCTCTCATTTACATTCATACCTCTTGTGCATGTTCTGAGTGGTAGGGGAAACTGGAGCACCCAGAGGAAACCCACGCAGACAAGGGGGAGAGCGTGCAAACTCCACTCAGAAAGACCCTGTTCCAACTGGGATTCGAACCTATACCTTATTGCTAAAAAGCGAGAGTGCTATCCACTCACCGCATGTCAGTCTCTGACAACAATACTTTCTACAACCCTGAGTTTATATCCACTGCTCTGAATTCACTTGGCTCTCCAATTTGTTAGTTTTTAGCAGCAGTGCATTTCCCGAGCTATAAAGGCGCAATTGAAAGGGTCAGCTTACTTCTCTTTTATTATGTGTTTTTGCCAAAAGTCAATATTCTGCTAAAATGACCAGAGTGAGAGAACTCTCAAAATCCAACAATAGAG